TTTTTTTTTTTTTTTGCGGTATGTGGGCCTCTCACTGTTGCGGCCTCTCCCATTGCGGAGCACAGGCTCCGGACGAGCAGGCCCAGCGGCCATGGCCCACGGGCCCAGCCGCTCCACGGCACGCGGGATCCCCCCAGACCGGGACACGAACCCGTATCCCCCGCATCGGCAGGCGGACCCCCAACCACTGCGCCACCAGGGAAGCCCTAAAAAGCTTTTTTATATTGAAAAACATAACACAGACAGGAAAGCCCATAATACATCCATACCAGGTAAAAACAAATTTTTGTAAAGTGAACAACAGTACAACCAACACTAGGTCAAGAGAGAACACAGCCCACGCCTCAGTAGCTTCCTCGTCCCCCGCTGCCTCCCAGAGAGGCCACCACTATTCCTGACATTTTATACTAATCATAACCTTACTGTGACTTAAGTTTTACCATCTAAGAATGCATCTTGAAACAATTTAGTTTTGCCTGGTTTTAAACAGGCAAATGGACTATGGACAAAAATGGAATCCAACAGAGGGTGCCCCTGTGTCTGCCCCTGCCCAGCACCCTGTGCAAGAGGCTCCTGGCTGCTGTGGAGAGACAGTGTGCAGCCACGGCTTATCCATTCCCATGGCTATGACGTGTCCTATGACACGAATATACCACATTTTATAAATACATAAAGTAATACTATGCCTAGTTTTATTTTTTTCACGTAGCATTACATCAAGAGCACTTCCATATCAGTAACTATGCCACATAATATCCCCTTACCTAATCATTCTTCCCTCAGTTAGGGGCATTTAGGTTGCTTTCAATTTTCTGTTTTATATGAACTTTTGTTTTGAGATTTTTGTCCATTTCCCTTAAATGAAGTCCTAGAAGGGGTATTACTGGGTCAAAGAATAGAAATAGGCAGGGTCCTATTGTGGGCCATCAATAATTACCATCCAGGGACTTCCCTGGTGGTCCAGAGGTTAAGAATCCTCCTTCCAATGCAGGGCATGTGGGTTTGATCCCTGGTCAGGGAACTAAGATCCCACATGCCGCAGAGCAACTAAGCCTGTGTGCTGCAACTACTGAGCCAAAGCACCACAGCTACTGAGCCCAGGCATGCTGCAACTATTGAGCCTGCACGCTCTGCAGCCTGTGCTCCACAACTAGAGAGAAGCCTGCGCACCACAACGAACAGCCTGCGTGCCACAATGAAAGATCCTGCGTGCCGCAACGAAGATCCCACATGCCGCAATTAAGACCCGATGCAGCCAAATAAATTAAATAAAATTTAAAAAATAATAATAATTACCATCCAAAAGGGGGACTGATGTGTCCTCTCTAAAGTGTGTGTTTGTGTGCATATGTGTTCACATGTACATTCAGACATGTGTGTGTGCAACCTTCAGCATCTGGGACAGGAGGACTAAATCCCAAGAGTGGTCTCCTAGGACACCAGGCAGTGACCTTGTGAGGACCAAGGGTTCAAGCTCTCAGCACCTGGGCCCATAGCTGCCACCAAGGAGGGCCCAGTGCTGAATGACCAAAAGAATGCATCTCTAGTGCCCAGCACTGAGAACATGCTCAGCAATGTCCCAACATCCGCGCAGACGTGCACTTCTCAAAAGGCCCTGGGGGGGTGTTCCTTGACATGCAGGCAATGCAGTGAGGACAGCTGGCTCCCCAACAGGCCCTGGGTTCTGTTTCGAGGCTATAAAACATTTACCTTTGGGCTGTCTCCACCTGAAGCTTCCTTCTCATTTTCTGGCTGTGAGTTGTCGGCCATTAAATTGAGGTCAGATGGTATCACACGGCCCATTTTGTACCCTGAAGACCCTGCTCCCCGGGGGCTGGATGGACAGGAATTTGCAGCACTGTGGGCGAGAAAAGGTTGCTCCTATTAGACTATGGTAAAACGTACATCACACTGTGTTTCAATAACTGACTCTTATTTCAAGGAAAACAAATTTTAAAAGTAAGAGAACTTCAGCATTTTCCATGGAAAAATGGACTCATTAACTCTGTGAAATTTAAGATCACCCTAAGAAATCAGGTATTTGCTTCCACATGTGTCATCTTAGGAACTTACCAAGGACACAGAACCATGCATGATGGCTCCAGGGCTCAGCCTGGTAGAGGGACACAGACCACTGCTCTGCTCGCCCCCTCCCACCAGGGAGCTGAGGACAGGCTGCAACAAAGGACATGGCTTCCAGCTACACCGGAAAGGTCAGGGGGAGTCTGAAGAGAAGGGGACAGCAGTGAGGCTGAAGACAGGACACACAAAGAGGGGAGAAGGCCGTGGATACAGACACGCAGGCTGTGACGGGCTCACAGGGAACACCCAGAAATCAGAAACAGGAACCTGTTTTCAAACATGCACTTTTTTTTTTTTCACAAGGTAGGGCTTGGCCATGATGCTGAGGATGCTCTGATTCTTGATTTCTGATGATTAAGAGCCACATTCACTTGTGATAATTCACCAAGTTATGTATTTAACTTGCTCTCCCTTTTCTGTACAGTATTATACTTTACAAAAGAGAACAAGCTACTGAATGGAAGGATGCCAAGATAAGACTCTTTTAAAAATCCAGTAAGTTATAGAACAGTATGTATGGTTAGATCTCATTTATGTTTTGGATAAAAAAAAGTCAAGTATTGCAAATGTATAGAAAATTTCTGGAAAAAATACCTAAGAAACAGTAGTTACCTCCAAAAAACTGAACTGGAAAGGAGGGGCCCAGGAGCTGGAACAACACACTATTACCTGGCACCCCCTGAACACTACTGGACTCTACCATGAACATGCACCGTCAGTATATGCACTCACCCACAAAACAAGTGTTTACCGCATGCCAGGAACAACTCTTAAAGCACTGGGGAGACAGGAACAAGACAGATGGCAGGACCACACTCTTGGAACTCCTGCTTAAAGATTTAAAACTAGCTAACATAAATGAAGGGTCAATGTGGTGAGTGGACCCACTGGCTGGGTGGTGGTGGGCTCCACCACCGTGAGCTGTCTCAACACAGGGGGTGCCTGCTGCTCAGTGCTGGCGGTGGGGTATGGAGAGGGGATGAGCAAGGAGAACAGGGTGAAGATGGGGCAGGGGATGAGGAGAGACTATCAGCTCCTGACCCAATCCCTAAAGTTTCCAACCACCTCCAGTTCCCTGAGCGCCCACAGAACTTCTGTCTCCACATGGCCAGGCAGTGTGTCAGTGATCTGTCCCACGTGGGTAAACATGGGCTTTCTCCTCTTCCTCTGTGAATTCTGTGCACTTTTCACACAGTGCTGAATAAAAATCGGGCCACTGGCTGCTGACTTCTGCCTACCCACTGCCACACTTACTACCTGGTCCATCTAGTCACATACAGACAATTCAACCAAGTGGGAGAGACAGAGGCAGCATCCTCAGCAGAGCAGCCATGGCAGGGGGCAGAGAAGGGGCCCGAGAACAGCTGCACTCACATAACACCAAGCAAGGGTACAGCCAGAGTCTACCTGACTCCTTCCAGGCCTTTCCAGAAGGATACCTTTCTGTCCATGCTGGATTTTAAGATAAGAAACTGAAGTGTCCGACTGAAAGCTACAACCCAGAGCTGCCAGTGTTCCCTCTGTGCCCTCCTTGCTCTGCTACAGGTAGGGGTCAGTCCCAGTGGACGAGGCAAGGCCTTCTCTGCCTGCCAGTCATGCCCTGCAGACACACCTGGACAGTAGGAGCTTGGCTCTCAAGAGAAGTGAATGTGTTCCTTTTGCACCTAAGTCTAACATTACTCACATGGAAGAAGATGCCTGAATACATACTTCACTCTTCTAAGACCCAACAGAACACAGGAGGACCGACCATCTGACCCTAGGACAGGGTCACGCCTGCTGGTCCCGGGCAATTCCTGACCTGACCCTCAGCTACTGCCCCCTGAAAGCGCGGGTTATGCAGTGGAGAGCACGCCTTGAAGGCACCATCCTCCACTTCCTGAGGCTCCCAGTCTCTCTTAGGACATCAGGACAAACAAAAGTTTGTCACCTCACTGTGGTCAAACTCAGTAATCCAAAGTGTAAGTCATCAGAATCTGCATGAAATTGTAGGAAACCAAAAAACTCAAAATGCAACTGAAAACCCACCTCACACTTTAGACCAATAAGACAAATCATCTATCCTTTAAACTTACACTCAAATAAAAGAATCCACAAGTGAAAACAAGGAACATTTGTGAACTGTGTTTCATATGCAGGAAACTAAGAGCAAACAGTGCTCAGAAACTGAACAATATTTTAAGTGCCCTCAACATCTCCCTCTCCATGTAGGTCAGCACCAGGAAAGGGAGAAGACGTTGCTGTGCACTGCTGCCCACTACTGTGATGTACGATGGCTTCTCAATGTCCCACGCAAGAGGCAAGGACTGAAATTTGGACAGGGTCATGTCCACCTTGGCACATGCACACCCTGACCCCACGGTGACCCCGTCTACCATGGAAGCTGCTGTGTACCTGATGGTTCCTGTGGGGGAGGGGAGGGGGCTGATGAGGTGGGCCATGGTGTCTGGAATGTTGATGGTCAGCGGCGAGATGTGAGCCTGCACGGGCTTCACGGGGGACTCGGGCGCCTCCTGTTTCTCCCTCTTCTCGCTGGACAGGGCAGTGAATGTGATCTTGATGTTTGTGCTCGGGAACCTGAACGTGCACCTAAAAAAGAAAAGCCAACTGTCAGCGCCCATCTGCCGATCGGTGGGCAGGATGCCCCATCCACAACAGGTCGCAGAGCCCGAGTGTCCCCAAACATACTGGAGCCTCGACTTGCGTGGAAGAGTCGGAGAGAAGCCCACTTCAAGTTCACCTCACATGTTACAAGTCGATTAATGAGTGAAACACAAAGGAGGCATCACATGATTTTAAAACACTAGTAATCAAAAACATCATTTAGACCAGCTCAACAGGAAAAAAAAAAAAAAGGGAGAGGAAACTCAAAAAAGACTCAAATACCACTTAATCTACACTGGGTAAGGGTCTGGAGACAGGCTTGGGATCTGGAGATGTGCTCCTGGCACTGAGTAGGTGGAGGCCAGG